AGTTCCCCCTCCAACCTCGCGCAAAACGCGGAAGCTTTTACGTTTCATTAAAGATTATTATTACCGTTCTCGCCTCTGAATCCTCGTCTGAATTCAGGTTCCCCCCTCCCGCGCAAAAGCTTTGACGTTTCATAAGATTATAAGAGAAAGAAGACGATTCACTGTACCGTTCTCGATTCTTAATCCTTGTCTGAATTCAGTCCCCCCCCCCCCTCCCCTCCTGCGCGAAGCTTTGACGTTTCATAAAATTATTAGAGAAAGAAGACGATACGTTGTACCGTTCTCTATACTCTTAATCCTTGTCTGAATTTCAAAGATTTTCTTTGTCTGCTCCTTTTACTCTCTACGTCCTCTTCCGATTTGGGGGACCGCCCCCCCCCCCCCCCCCCTGGCTGGCTACGCGCCTGCGGTCAGATAAACACATTTTGATAACTTGTCCGGCTCCGGAAGCTCAGGGGTTTTAGGCGTTTAATTAAGGTCAGATGATCATTTTTTTTAATACCTATTATTTTGTGACACTGGCAGGTCACTATTTGGCGTGGGGTCCAGGGGGCGGATCCCCCCAAAAGCGGGGTTTTAGGCATTAAATTACCGTCAGATGAGCATCTAAGGGCCCGCCGTAGCGCCCTAGGTGGAATCCAGGGGGCAGAGCCCCGGAAGCTTAAGGGTTTTAGGCATTTAATCACGGTCAGATGAGCATATTTTGATGACTCATTTTTTTAACACTGGCAGTTAACTATTCGTTCTTTCTTGCGCTCATTCTATTTTTTTTCTCTTTAATATACTTTTTCAAATAAAGTGGGGGGGGGGAGGGAGCTCGAGGCTCCCGATCCCTGCCGTACCTCGGACCCTGACATGTAGGAATCTCAAGAATCATATTTCGTGCCTGGCTGTAAATTTAGGAATTTGTCATTTTCCAACAAACACATATACAAACGTATAATTTACTAAAAAGTGCGGACAAATCTCGGAAATTATGTCATTTCAGCATTATTTGTAATCCACCGTTGTGGAATTATAAATAAACCACGTTTGAATTTGATTTTCCCAAAGCCCCCCCCCCCCCCCATTAGTACGCCAGTATCTCCTCTTTTCCTTTTTTCTTTCCCTTTCCTTCCTTCTCTCTTATTTTTTTTATTGGAGGGGGGGGGGGGGGGGTCAACAGCCTGGGAGGAAAGGCCCTTTCGGTCCCCCGATCTCCTTCTTCCCCCTTTTCTTTTATTCTTCTTCTTCTTCTTCTTCTTTCTTTCCGTTTCTCTCCTCTTTCCTTTTCCCTTTTTTCCTTTCTTCTCTCTCTTTTTTTTTTTTTTTTTTTGCGGGGGGGGGGGGGGGCCAAGGCCCGCTCGCCCCCCCCCCTGGATCCGCGCCTGAATACAAGTAATATAGTTGTAGTCACTCTCGAAGTCGTCACAGCGGATACAAAATCACAGTTCGTAGGGAAAAAAACTTGTCGGCCGACCGACAATATACATCTCACCGCCTACAAACTTCTGCATTGATATTAGTACACGAGGATCGAGTAAGAATACCGACACAGATGAACCGACACACAGCTGACCCGACACAGCAACAAAATTGACCGTGTCTTTCTTGCTCCCTCGACGAGACGACTCCACCGAACAACCCCCTTCTCTCTTTTAATCCCACTCCTCTTCTCTCAGGCTCTTACCTCCCCCTCTCTCCTCTTTCATCCCCCGTTTCGTTTGTTTCCCGTTTACTCTTTGTTCTTCTTGTTTTCCTTTTCTTTCTTTTATTTCTTTTCCCCTTTTTCCTCTCCTCCCTCTTTTTTAATTTTCTCTCTCTCTTTCTTCTCTTTTCTTTCCTTTCTTTTCCTTTCTTTCTTTTCTTTTCCTTTTATTTTTTCCTTTCTTTCCCTATCCCTCTTTTTTTCCCCTCCCCCTTTTCTCTTTTTCCCGACGGCAGCGCAATTTTACCGACAAAATCCTGACAGGTGGGGGGGGGGGGGGGGGTGTCGCACCCCCACCCCCCTTTGGCGACGCCCCTGCTTACCTCCCTCTCTCTCTCCTCTCTTTCACCCCCCCCCCCCGTTCTCTCTCTCCTGTCTTTCACCCCCGTTTCTTTTGCTTCCCTTTTCTTTCTTTTTTCTTGCCCTTCCCTCTCTTTTTCCCTCCCCCTTTTCTCTGTGTCGTTTCATTTATTTATTAGAAAAAGAAGACGATACGTTGTACCGTTCTCTTCTCTTAATCTTTGTCTGAATTGTTTACCCCTTCCCGTTTCATTGAATTATTAGAGAAAGAAGACGATTCGTTGTACCGTGCTCGACGTTTAATCCTTGTCTGAACTCAGTTCCCCCCTTCCTCCTCACGTGGAAGCTTTGACGGTTATTAAATTATAAGGGAAAGATGACGATTTGTTGTACCGTTCTTGACTCTAAATCCTTGTCAGATTTCAGTTTTCCCCTCCCACGCGAAGCACTGAACCTTTGACGTTTCATTTAATTATTTGAGAAAGAAGACGATTCGTTGTACCGTTATCGACACTTAATTCTTGTCTGAATTTAGTGACCAGTGACCCCCACCCCCTCCCGCGCGGAGCTCGGAAGCTTTGACTTTTCATTCAATTATTACTCTTAATCATTGTCTGAGTTCATTTTTGCCCTTCCCGCGCGAAGCCCGAAAGCTTTGACGTTTTATTAAATTATTAGAGAAAGAAGACGTTCCGTTGTACCGTGGTCCACTTTTAATCTTTGTCTGAATTCAGTTCCCCCCCCCCCCACTCCGACACACAGAGCAGAAGCCTTCGTGGTTATTACATTATTAGAGAAAGAAGATGATTTGTTCTACTGTTCTTGACCCATAATCATTATCTGATTTTTTAAAAAGTTTTACTTTGTCTGAGAAAAAAAAAATCACATTTCGGAGGGAGAACAAATTTGCCGGCCGACAGACATATTTCAAACTTCTGCATTGATATATAGTTTACGAGGATCGAGCAAGAATATCGACATAGCTGACCCGACACAGCAACATAATTATATATGCGTATCTTTCTTGCTCCCTCGACGAGGCGACTCCCCTAACAACCCCCACCCCCTCTCGCACTATAGGCTCTAACTCTCTTGTATCCCCCGTTTCTTTTGTTTCATTTTTTCTTTATTTTCTTCATTTCCCGTTCTCTTTCTTGTCTTTCTTTCCATTCCTTTCTTTCCATTTCCCTTTCTTTTTCCCCTCTCCCATTTCTTATTTTTCCTGACGGCAGCGCAATTTCACCGACAATATCCTGACAGGTCTAAAGGGGGAGATTTCGCACCCACCCCCCCCCCCCCTTTTTTTAAGCGACGCCCGCCCCTGCCTGCACGTACTCATTGTTTGCAATGTCATAGCAGCGCCCATTTGACACTAAGACTGCACGGCTCAAGAAAAAAAAACACGAGGTATGAGATGACAATTACCATTAATTTATGTTAATGAAGTGCAATCAAGACTATATAATACTAACTGGATTAAAAGAATACACTTAAAAAAAAAAATAACAGACGAGTTATATTTTCCCTAGTTGTCATATTCCTAAAATCGTTGCGCACCCTACTTGTCAATATAATTATGTATACTGTAATTATCATCATTAATTTAATGTCCACCGTTAAGCTTTACTCCAAGAAGGGGGGGGGGCCTCATTATGTACCCGGTTTCGCATAATAGCATTTACGTGGGAATATATAGTGTCTCTGTATTTCAATATATGTCCTCCAGGTAAAGGAATGTCGACTATCTACTGAAATGACTGCCAGAATGTGGTCCTGTCTCAGATCTTTCACCTCACTGAACCATCTCACCATCTCAGACTCCTCTCTCAGTTTTCCTCCATCTTCTCCTGAGCTTCCAACCGTCACAGAGCTATCAGCCAAGATAATGACGTCACAAAGCTATGAAGGTCTGTTCTCATCGCTACCTGGCTTGAGAGATATCGATATCACTATCGATGATGCAGAGAGAGACATACCTCAGATCACGGCTTGTCTTCGTCGGACCGGAGGACAGCAGCTCACATACATCGACCTTAGGGTACCGCCATCACTCCCATCAGAGAAGAACAGAGTATCGAGAGAGACGATGAGAGGACTGGGTCTACTGATCAGAGAACAAACCAAGAACCTGCAGCGGCTAGATCTGAGATGGGTGAGGTGCACAGACGAGGAAGACTTGGTTGACCTCTTCGAGTGCTGCAGACGGGTGAAGACGATGTCATCCGTGCGGTAGGTTCTTGTTGAAATCGTGTATAAATATATTAAAATCCTATTAGATTATTCTACTCAGTTACTTTGCAGTAGTAAAGCATAATGATACAAATGCGTGAAAAGATGCAAAGGTTAAAACGTGGGTGTAATTTCCAAGTCTTTGACTGAAAGTTAAGATGGGTTTTGTTTGATTATCACTCTCAATTCTTATTTTAAAATTTTTAAGTAGACTAGGGTTTAGTCACTAGCAATAAATATAATTTGAATGCCTGTATTGAAAATCCAAAATTGTAATAGTCTATGTCTAGAAAATATGCAGTTGAATGTATTATTAAGATTATGCACCGTCGGAAGCTAAATTAATGTAAGTCCATGTCCCGGGGTCCATGTTGACTTAAAATACAAACCATAGATTTTCTATCATTATAAAATTAATTATCATTAGGTCTATCATGAATTATTATTATTATAATTATTACGATTATATCGTAGCATTCTAGACCATAATTCGACTTAGATCTATAATTGGTGAATTTTCGAAGCTTAAACAATGCCAAACTAGGGGAAATTACTAGTTTTCAGGTCCCCCCCCCCCCCCCCGCCGGAGGTTGATTCATCATCTAAAATTAATTTCGATTTGAAATATGTTCAGGCCCGTAGCCAGAGTTTGATGTTGGGGGGGGGGGGGGGGGGGGCTGGGCACATAGACCTAGAAGATCTACATGTAATTGATCGACGTCCTGGGGAGGTGTCTAACAAAGTTCAACCAAGCCCCCCCCCCCCCCCCCCGTGGCTACGTGCCTGAATATCTTAGAAAATATTTTTTTTATTAAAGGCTGAATCACTTTTGCCTTTAAACTGATGCTCGTGAGCTGTTTCATCGAATCAAATTTAGCTAGAATCGATCTTGATAAGTTTTTAGGTTAAACAAAGGGCTCTGTGATCAAGGCTAGTCGATGTTACTTAGGTCAACCACAAAATGCGTCGCTAAACTAGTACTGCAAGAGAGGTCCTCAAAAAGTGAGTTAATTCCATCTTCTTCTAAAATATTCATTCTGTTGAAAACAAATTTTGGTGGAAGGAAAGTATTCTTCTCATTTTTAACCGTACGATATTTGACATAAATATCAATACTAGTAATAATAGGGTCTAGCGTTCCCCAACTTCTGAGCTAAAAATAAGATGGACGAATTGCATTGGTTCATGCATTTCCGTCCTATTCATTACATCCATGCATGTCCACCTCTACTTGTCTAACGACATTGAATATTTGGTTATGACAGGTCTGAATTCATTAGGAAATATAGTTTATTCTTGCGTTTGATGACAAAATAAATAAGTCCACCACGGCTTTAGAAATCATTGCGTTGAATGGTCGCCGATAAAAAGTCTAGTGCGTAGAATCTAGGCCTAGATCTAGACTATAAATTGAGGTTAAGGCTCAGTTTCCAAATCTAGACTAGACTCTAGGCCTAGGCCTACTTTGTTATTTGCCGGTAGGCAGTGCGGTAGCCCCTTTCTCATGTTGATAATAACATTAACAATCGACGGGGTCATTGTTTCAACGTTAACATTTCATGAAAGAAAAAAAATTGTCTCCACAGTTTCAGACCCAAGACCAAGTTAGATCTTGATTAAGAATAAGATCTTAATGTAGATCTAGTCTAGATTTGATCTGCATCATTATACTAGGTCTAGACCTAGTCTCTACACTACACCTTTTGTGCAGGATTAACTTAGATACATCAGAATTTAGAGTTAGTCCCTTAGTCCTAGATCAGCTAGACTACTTGTATGTTTGTGAGATCTAAATTAAACAGGAGTTAGATCTAGTCTACATCGAACAGTAACAAGTTCGATTTTAGACTAGATATAGAATGTTATGTAGTAGGCTCATGTATCGAGCTCTATATTTTGTTTTTCTTCATTTCATTTTTCTTTCAGAGTCAGAGATGGAGTGGACATGGACTCTTGAGTCATATCCAAGAAATAGACCTCTAAAGTCTTCAACGTCTCTCATCCTACCTCTGCCCCGAGGAAAGGATATGGATCTGCATAATGTAATCGGATTCAAGGTGTACTGCAAGATCCTACCATACTAAGTGGCCTTTTGATGTGATTATCTTAGCAAAGTTTGAACACCGACATGAAATAAGGGTGAGGTTCTTTTTCTTCTTCATGTTCTAGACCTATATAGAAATAAAGTACTAATTTTTTGTTCAGTTTATACTTATTCATTTATGATAAAGGGTTAAGATACCGGATATTGGATTTTTCAATAACAAACTGAAAATGTTGTGTTCTTAATCTAAGAGGAAGCCAGCCATGACAGGTCAAAAACATAGATACTTGATCCGCCAGATTTTGATCAATTGTGCATAGATTAGGGCAACAGTGAAAGTATAAAGATGTGACTGAACAAACTCTAATTAGCATATTCATGATGTAAGCTGTTTTCTGTTCGTTATATACCATGTAAGGCATCTCTTTTACTTCTATTCCCCAGAGGGTAGTTTTAATCAAACTCTGTACAATAGGGTTCGGTTCAAGATCAGAGTATCCATGATTAAGATTTGACTGTTGTTAGTTTGATATTACAAATAAAAGCTCTAGTTCAAGATCAAGATTTTAAAGAAATGTTTGGGATCATAGTCAAAAGCAAGATAAGTCCAGAGTGTATTAGAAGTTTCCACATTACACAGTCCACCATTTTAATTACAATTAGAATCACTGACGAAAATATGCTTTTGTTCAGTTGAACACATTAGATTAAGTAAAGTGACAACTATTTTTCTGAGAAACATATTTGCTCTCTTCATGAAATATGTTTATCTCCGTTTTCAATCTTAGGTTGCAAAGTAAAGAGCTGTAGCATCTACATGAACTGCAAAACTCATGGCACCTGGACTTTCATACCTAAGGTCTTATTCATCTCTTCAAGTTGAAAAGGTAAGGGTTTCAGTTTACTGGTAAACATAATTGATCGTATTAGTATGTTCTGTGCCTGTCATCATTGCCATGTCCCTACAGTAATGAAAGAGAAAAAAAAACGAAAGAGTAAGTACAGTTTCCATAGTCCTTGTTAGAGATCTAATTCAGATCTTACCCAATCTATTGTATAAAACAAACACAAATGGTTATGAGATTTTTCTTTTCCAAAGCCTAAAAATAAATTATTTATTATTTTTTCTTAACTTAAACTGCTTTCGTATCAATATTTTCAAAGAATGTTTTATATCATTCTACTTTATTCATTTCCAATCAAAGAAATTGACATGATCAGAAATACAAAAGTTGTAGAAAGATTAAACAATTACAGTAATAGTTATTAATTGTTTTATTACATAAATTTGTATACCAAATTCTAGACTGCAGTGCCTGAATCCCCTGCAACATTATGCTTCATATGGAAAATCAGCCAGCCTACAGTTCTCTTTTCCAGCTCTAAGCAAGAGGGACCACAATGCTAAACAGTTCGTGGACATGTCGCTTTTTTCAACTACGACTTCTATTGAAACAGATTTTCAAATTAATTCATCTGAAGGTATTAAATATGCTTCAGTCAGGGTACCATCGGTTTGCCATCAGTTTGCCATGAGTATGAGATTACTGGTTTGATAAGAATTCATCAAGTAAGGTCTAAAGGAACAAAGATTTTCAATGATACTCCCAAGAATTTTATTATTTTAAAGAGAATGTCATAATATTTTTTTAAATATTTTTTCTTGCCCTCAGGATGCTTTGCTCACGGTCTGCCACGATGCGCAATCGCATGAGGTCTAAATAAATAAGTATTTAATAATGACGTTTTTTCTTTTTTTGTTTTTTTGTATATGTATTTTCTAAAAAATGAAAGTAATTTTCATTATTATTTCTGTTATATTCACTCTTTTGTTGCGTATAATTATAATTATGACTAGTCTACAGTGAAAATCTATTTCGAACTTCTTTATCTATATCAGGGAGTTCAAGATAGTGTTGTTTTGCTTTGTAATGCTTTGTTACGATTTTGCGGATGTTTATCGTTTGTTCTCCAAGCCTGCGGAGATTTCTTGTAATATATTCATATCTCTTAAATGTTCGTCTTTTGTTTGTCTATGTTTACTTGTGTATTTTTTCTTGTCTATACTTAATTTCCATTGTTATATCACAATGTTGTCCATACAGACCGATTCTCTTTTTCTAACTAAATTTGAAACTTCCATTTTAGATACTGCGCATTATTGTATATTATACTACTATTTTGTTACGCAATCCTTTTGTGGTCAAACTCTAAATGGATACGTTACATAATAACTTAGCGTTTAATTCTCTTCGTGATGATCGATATGATGAGACTATCGCCAATTCTCTAACTGAGTACATTACTAACCATCAATTCAAAGACTTTATGTGTAATAATAATATTAATAAAGATACATTTTCTTTATTCCATTTAAATATTAGAAGTATTAATAAACATTTTGATGATTTTCAATTCCTCTTAGATAATTCGTCCCAATGTCTTCCCTCTATAATTGGGCTTACCGAGACTTGGTTAACCACAGATCCTAACCCACCATTTGCCCTACATGAACATGATTTTATTTTTAGTAGTAGGAAGGAAAAACTTGGAGGAGGTGTTGGTTTATATGTTTCAAAAAATTATTCTTACAATGTTTGTAATGATATTACTATAATGAACAATATCTTGGAATCCTTGTTTATTGAAATCTTATTGCCAGGTCGGAAGAATGTAATAATTGGTGTAGTTTATCGACCCCCAAGTAGTAATACTTTAGATTTTTTATCGTCCCTAACTGATATTTTGAATAATTCGGCAATGATTAATAAAGATTGCTTTATAATGGGTGACTTCAATATCAATTTATTAAAATATGATACTGATAATTTATGTCATGATTTTTTGGAAATATTTTTATCAAATTCATTCTTCCCACCTATTTCTAAGCCCACTCGTGTAACTAATAATTCTGCTACATTGATTGATAATATCTTTAGTAATGTCATTCCACATCCTGATTAATACATTATACTTTCTGATATATCTGATCATTATTCCATTTTTACTCAGTTTACTCTTTCAAATTCAGTCAACGGTGGACGGCCTCGTCCATTAAGACGTCGAGCTTCCCCAGAGAATATAGCAAGACTTGGAGCCAGTTTAGAGCACGCAGATTGGTCAAGTGTTTATAACACTGATGATGTAAATAGTTCGTATAATAATTTTTTAGATATTCTGAATGAAGAGTTAGATACATGTATTCCCTTACAAAGAGATAAAGTAAATAATTATAAAATTACCCCTAGACTTCCCTGGATTTCGAAATCTCTTCTAAGATGTATTAATAAAAAGAATAAGTTGTACTATAAGTATAAAGCAAATCTTACAGATAGAACTAAAAGTAAATATACTTCGTATAAGAATGCTTTGATTAGAATTTTGCGTTTTGAAAAGAAGAATTATTTCGTGAATCGCTTAGAGTTTTATAAACATGATATGCAGAATACTTGGAAAATTCTTAAACAGGCTATGAATTTGGTCCATAATAAAAATGATATTATTAAAATAAAAAGGGATAATGAAGTGATCGATGATTCTGATATGATTGTAAATATTTTTAATAAACACTATTCTTCGATTGGTGAGACGTTAGCACAAAATATACCACAATCAGAAAAATCTTTCACAGATTTTTTAAACGCCCCAAATACAAATTCTATTTTCTTTGTTCCAGCTCATAGATTTGAAATAATAGATATTGTTTCTCATTTGAAAAACAAGAAAAGTTCTGGTGTTGATAATATTAATAACTTTATTTTAAAAGGGATAATACCTTTCATTGTAGATCCATTGGTTCATATCTTTAATTTGTCTTTCTTGAATGGAGAAGTACCTAATGTTATGAAAATTGCAAAAGTGATTCCACTATTTAAGAAGGGTGATAAGCAAGATGTAAATAATTATCGCCCGATATTTTTATTATCATCTCTTTCGAAGGTTTTAGAAAAACTTATACATAAAAGAACAGTTGCTTTTTTGAAAGTTCATAATATTTTTTGTGATTCCCAATTTGGATTTAGAGAGAAACATAGCACGAGTCATGCATTATTATCACTTGTTGAAAAGGTAGCTCATGCTCTCGACTCCTCTTATCATATGGTTGGAATACTCCTGGACTTCTCCAAGGCCTTCGACACGATCAACCACGATATTTTGCTTCATAAACTTTCTCATTATGGTATACGTGGAAAGGCCTTGGAGTGGTTCAGGAGTTACCTTTCCGATAGGAAACAGTTTGTATTTCTGGATGGTCACACTTCTGAATTACGAAATATTAATTGTGGGGTTCCTCAAGGTAGTTTGCTGGGCCCGCTTTTGTTTATTATTTATATTAATGATTTTTATAGATCATCAGATATGGCGTCTTTTATATCATTTGCTGATGATACAAATTTGTTCTTTTCACATACAAATCCAAATACTCTTGTTGAAATTGTAAATTTTGAATTAGAAAAAATTATTCAATGGATCCGAGCTAATAGGCTGTCTTTAAATTTACAAAAGACTAAATATATTCTTTTTAGTAATTCAATAGATTCTTTGCCAACTGATTTAGTTTTTGATGACACTCATTTGGAAAAGGTTACACATTCTAAATTTCTAGGTGTAATAATTGATAATAAGCTTTCATGGAAAGTTCATGTCGATAACATTTCTAAAAAAAAATCGAGAAATATTGGTATATTAAATAGACTTAAAACACAACTTCCATCTTCAGCATTATTAACATTATACTCATCCTTAACATTACCTTATCTGAATTATGGCTTACTCGCATGGGGTAACGCTCATCAGAACATTTTAGACAAACTTTTATTGTTACAAAAGAGAGCAGTTAGAATTATTTCCCAGGCAGATTTTCGTGCACACACTAATCCGTTGTTTTATGATAATAATATTTTGAAAGTAAAAGATTTGTATTTGCTTCAATTAGGTCAATTTATGTATAAAAATACTAATGATTTGCTGCCAAAAAAATTTAAGACTATGTTTTTAAAAAATCGCTCTTTTCATCAACATTCAACTAGACAATCGGAAGAGTACCATTTGCCATTACTTCGAACTTCCTTCGCTAAAAACACTTTTATCTATGATGGCCCAAATTTGTGGAATTCCTTTACTGATTCCTTGAAAAATGCCCCTTCATTATATACATTTAAGAAAAGATTAAAAATATTTTTGTTCTTAAAATATAAAGTAAATTAGTTTGATTTACCCCCCCCCCCCCTGACACCCACACACACACACTAATACTTACACATTATACACGATGCATCATTGTCTTGGTCATTTTGAGGAGAATACGCGCATACTTTCCCCTTATTTTCTCTTTAATAATTATATGCGCAGTTATCGATTTATACGGTCTTACTTTTTACTAATAATCTGATTTGTATTGACAATAGTATACGGAATGTAGAATAACTGATTTGTTGTTTTGGAAATGTTACGTCCACGTCTGTGCTGTATATTCTTTTTTTTTTTGTTATTGAATGTCTTTCTCTGTCTTACATTGTCTCTACTTGTTACTGTTCTGTCTTCGCGGGCTTGTCATTGTCTTTACTTTATTTTTTTATTTTTTTTTTATTTTAAAAACAAAGAGCAAACTTTTATATTAATATATTTGTGTTTTTTGTTCTGTATAAGCTAATTTGTGTAATGCTACTTTGTTATTTTGAGGGACCCATAATTTACAAGTATCCACTTTTTAATGGGTCCCTCCATTTCCATAGAAAATATCAAATTTTTTTTGTATTATGTTATTCAAATTTTGTTTATATGCAGTTTAAGTATTTGTAAATGATATTATTCACATGTTATCTTGTTCAATTTTTTGTTTTGTTTTAATGAAATATTGTTCTGATTTCTGTGGAAATGAAAAATA